CACCGTTTCATTTTTTTTTAAATGCCAATATATATATATATATATATATATATATATATATATATATATATATATATATATATATATACACACACAGACCAGAAAATCAAGACTTGTGTGTATGTATGTACACACTACTTAGCCACTGTATAAGTATTATAATAAATAATTAAATTATTCGTTTCTTCCCAAATATTTAAAGTGCCTCCGTTCACGCGTGATTATATTTAATGTATTATAGGTTTTCACAAAACTTTCGCATAGTTTATTAATCATAAAAAAAACCCCACTGTATTTTAATATATACATACACACTGTGTGTATGCATGTGTCTACGTGTGTGTGTGTGTATATATATATATATATATATTAATATAACATATGTATTCTTCCGAGACGCGGTTGCTTGATATAAAACTATGCATGGGGGTGCCGCCTATTTTATTTATTTACTATTTAGTAGAGATTGCCACAAAAATAAGAAATTAAAGGAATTAATTAATAATTAATTAATTTGTGGATTATATATAAACAATTGAAAAGGTAAATATATACCAAAAGTAGTAAAATTCCAGTAAGGGCTCGTACACTCACAACCTGGCTGTGGAGCATACCTAAAAGCTATGTGACCTACAAAAACTAATTGTATTTATTAATTAATTAATTAATTAATTAATTAATTAATAATATATTATACCGTCGGGGCATAATCCCGCTGCGCTTTCAACTTGTAGGGTTGGTGTTCGATTCTTACGACCCGAATTCGATCTTTTCGACAATACTTTGTAGATTAATTAAGCTCGTCGTATGTAACTTAATTGATCGGTGCAATTTATACTTCTTGTGTGGTTTATAAGTTATTGCATGAGACGAAACAAAATTTACCCAGTTCATATATATGACTGTATATCAATTTTAACAATTAGAGGATTATATATATGTTATTTTTATTTGTAGTAATACGGCACACCTTTTAATTTGTTTCGACTAAGCGTGAATTTGATTTGTCTTGCTATTTTATAATAAACGTAACTAATAAAAATAGCTACTTTCGAAGTAACGAAAAACAAGGATTGGAGTTAGAGCTAGAGTCAGAGTCGAAAAGACGATTCCTTACTTCTTTCGCTTATTCAAAACTTGTGTTTTCCTAAATATTTATTTAATTTGATACACATATACATTGGCAAAACTATAAGTTTATATTAATAGTGGTGATTATTTAGAAACGGTAAAAAATAAAAACATGCCTAATTAAATGATTGAGAGATGAAGTATTTGCTTCCACAATCTTTCCTTTGTTTATTTAATATAATTTCTTTTGGATCCTTTCATTTGGAGGGGGTTTCTTTAATTTAAAAAATAAAATGGATTGGAATAGCCAGATTGAAAGTGGAAAGGATGATAATTAATAATAATTCCAAAACCAAAGCCCCCTTTTTCAATAAAAATAACTATTATATTCTCATTAAAAGAAGATATCCCCATGAAAACCAAGGTTTCATTCACATGCACCCCTCCCTCTCCCTCTCTCTCTCTCTCTCTCTCTCTCTCTCTCTCTCTCTCTCTCTCTCTCTCTCTCTCTCTCTCTCTCTCTCTCTCTCTCTCTCTCTCTCTCTCTCTCTCTCTCTCTCTCTCTCTCTCTCTCTCTCTCTCTCTCTCTCATGAATTTGCACTTCACCCCCCAATCCACCCCCAAGTGGGTGGAGGCGCACCATCCTTCAATCATTTTATTTCCTCAAAGCTAATTAGGAGCGCAGTCACAAGAATCATTAATTAATAATTAATAATTAATTAAGATAATTAATAAGCATAAAGTTAATTAGTAGTTTAGTACATATACGCCTAACCCTACCTAAATACAGCCAAATCATGATGATTAGCATAATAATAAATTAAATATTGAAAAGGATTTGCTTTCTTCTACGCGAGGACGCGAAATTAGAAATTGTATTATATTATGATTGGCCTAATTAACTAAAACATGTAGTGATTAAGTGTTACTTAAGATGTAATTAGGGTTTGCTAAATGCTAATGCTTTGAGAAATAAAAATGTCAATCTCAAAAAAGAAAATAAAAATATTCATAAATTTAAGACACCCATTTAGATTAGTCCAAGATCCCGTTCGATCTACCGAAATCTGTCACTGGCAATAATTAATAATATATTGTCACTTTCATTAATTCAAATAAACATAAATGTGAAAGTGAAATATTATTGCTCTAACTAATTTCATTGATTAAGTTTAATTTTTGTTGTATCTAATTTAGTGTGAATAATATTATCTTTAGTATTTTCTTTTACTTCAAGAAAGAAAAGGGTACAGTGAGTATTGTATGTACATTTATATATTGCAGATGCCACGCTCTACGATAAATAATCTTTTGAGCGACAACACTAATTTTCTTATGATCATAGGTAAAAAGATATTGTCACTATGATTATAACTAATCATGTATCACTAATGTTATATAGTGACAATAAAAGATGATTGTCAGATCTATTAGTGACGATAAAAAAAATTAAGTGACAACAAGAAGAATTATTAGTGACAACATAAAACTGTTGTCGTTTAATTTATGTATTTAGTGACAACTTTTGATAGCGTCACGGCAACGCGTTTTTTCTTATAGTAACGGTGAAAAACGTATCACGTACCATATAATTTCCGCGAATAATTATTACATGCATACAATTGAATATTATGTAGTGAATTTGATTAAAAAAAAAATGAAATTCACTAGATGTGGCATATTTTATAAGGGGCTTAATGCAAATTGTTGTAGATATTTTTTAAAATCATTAAATATTGGAGGGAAAGAAAACGTGGGGTCCACAAAAGACACCACGTAATGTGAAGAATGGGTTGGCAGGAATGGGTTTTGTGGGCCAAAACAGCCTTAGCGGTCAGAATCCCCTATGTGGGGGTCCAAATCCAACTCCAATGGAAACTTTACTCCACGTGGCCATCTTATCCACGTCAGCTTCTCTACCGCCACATAAGCATCAAATCAGTGTCCATATCAGAATTTTCTAATGAGCTTCTTGGTGGGCCCATCAGAATCACTTGGAGATGACATGTCACTTTCACTAGCTACTACTCAAAGGGCGTATGATTTTCTCTGTTTTTGTTTTTCTTAACATTGTATTATTTTCTATGTTAATATTAGTAAATTAATGTGAAATATATTGTTTCGTTTTACAGTAAGATGGTCTCGTTGGTGGAGTATGAATGTTGACGTTTAATGAACGTAACTCATTCTTCGTGACAGTAGTTTATACAAAAAAGATGGTGTTATAATACTGGACATAATTGTATTGAACATGTACGCATTTATTGCTAGTACGAGCCTGTTAGACTACATCTGATAAGCTATTTTAATAATTGATAAGTAGTTACGTCTTATTTTTAGAACTAACTTTTTAAGTGTTTGGATAAAAAGCTTATTAAAGGTTGAGTTTATACGCTCGTAAACATTCTGTAAGTTATTTTTAACAGCTTATAAATTTAGCTAAACACTTTGTAAATTATGGTTATATTTTATGTTTGGTAGCATTTATAAGTTGCGATTCTTTTTCTTTTAAAATTTGTCCTTCATGATAATTGATATTACCAAATAAATGATTACATAGGTTATTTTTCATTTATTGTATAAGAAACATTATTATAGTGGAAATCATATGGACGCCTCTTGACTTAAACCATTGTCCACCAAATTGGTTGATTAATATTGTAAACCAAATAATAAATCATGGGACTTGTCATCCTAATAAATAAAATATTATTTTGAATTTGTAACTAAAGCTAATCAATTTATGTGTATAATGTATTTTCACAAATACACAGGAGAAATTAGATGTTACATCCAGTTATTTACATCATGTGATTGTTAACCGTAGATATGCACGTAATTATACACACTCATGTGTTTGTGTGCTTAGTGGGAGATTGTTTAACTTTATCGACGGCTAACAATCACATGGTGTAAATAACCAGGTGTATCATCTAATTTCCCAAATGCACGTTTGACATTTTTTTTTTTAGAATATACACGTTGACATTAAATAAACAAAAGTATATTGATGTTTCAAATTTACTAATTTATGCAATTATGGATGATGGTCAACATGATATACATAATATGATATGCATAATTATCGGCTTGAATTTGCCATTTATTTTTTTTCTCGTTTTAATCATGAGAAAAAGTTCTTATTCAAAAACAAGAACTATATATACAAATTAGTAAGTTGCATAAAAAGTAAAATCTTCTTTAATGTCACTTGCAACACTTCAACTATTAAACAAAACCATTATTCCAAAAGTCACAAAAGGAAAAGGCAACATTATAAAAAAGTCCAATCCCAAAACTATATTTTTGTTTCACACAACAATTAAATATTTTAGTATCGTCTAACAAACTCATCGCACATGGTCAGCTCAGTATGATTTACACGTCAGCACTATCCAAAACCTCCACCAGATCAAATTTTCTCTAACTTTATTTCTCTCATTCACAGTTCACCATCTTTCGCATCCCGACAAATATGCTCACCCGAACCCTTAGGCCGACATTTAAACCGTTCTACTAGTCCATTGACTCACACTGCCAGAACTCTCCGATGGATGTTTCAAGAAATCTTTTTGTATGATTTGCGAGTTATTAGACGAAAACGGGGTTTACAATGCATATGTATATGGATTATGAAATGGCATAAAAAGAATCCCACAATTAGAATAATACAAAAAAAATGTTTAAGCTTATGATTAAGGAGTGGGGCCCACTCAAAAAAGTCATTAACTTCCACCTTCCATCACATGCAACCTTTCTTGAGCCATGGGCATAAAAACTCCTCTATTTAAGCCCTTCTTCCTCCATTCATTCCCTTCATCATTCCAATAACCAAACAACACTTCATTCTTCAAAAAATCATCCTAAAAAAAAATAATTTTCTCTCACACACACTAAACACACAAAAAAAACACACACAAAAAAACACAGTGCTTTTTGGAAGCTACATTTTGATCAGAAAAAAAAAAATGTTTAGTTTTTCGGATGCCGATATGTTTTCCCGCCGGTGTGTTTGGGTGAACGGCCCGGTAATCGTCGGCGCCGGACCTTCAGGCCTGGCGGTGGCCGCCGGCCTGAAGCAGCAAGGCGTGCCGTTCGTGATTCTCGAGAGAGCGGACTGCGTCGCTTCTCTGTGGCAGAAGCGGACGTATGACCGGCTGAAGCTTCACCTGCCGAAGAAATTCTGCCAGCTGCCGGAATATCCATTCCCCGACCACTACCCGGAGTACCCTTCTAAGAGGCAATTCATCGAATACCTTGAGTCCTACGCCGCGAACTTCGACATCAGCCCGCAGTTCAACGAGTGCGTTCAGTCGGCCAAGTACGACGAGGCGTGCCGTCTCTGGAGGATCAGAACCGTCTGCCGGGGCGGCTCTGAGGTGGAGTACATCTGCCAGTGGCTGGTGGTGGCCACCGGAGAAAACGCCGAGGGGGTGGTGCCGGAGATTGACGGGTTGAAGGAGTTCGGCGGCGAGGTTATCCACGCCTCCGATTACAAATCCGGCGAGAGTTTCAGGGGTAAAAAAGTCCTCGTCGTCGGATGCGGCAACTCCGGCATGGAAGTCTCTCTCGATCTCTGCAACTATGGCGCCAAACCTTCCATGGTTGTTCGCAGCTCGGTAATAATTTCTAAAATACCCTTTTTTTTTTTTCTTTTCTTCATTTTGTTTAATTAAACATGAATTTAGAAATGTTCTAATATGATTTTTTTTTTTTTTTTTTTTTTGTCTTAACAGGTTCATGTTTTGCCGAGAGAGGTATTCGGAAAATCGACATTCGAGGTAGCAATCTTCTTGCTAAAATGGCTACCACTATGGCTGGTGGACAAAGTTCTGCTCTTTCTAGCATGGACAGTCCTCGGAAAAACGGAGAATTACGGGCTGAAACGGCCCTCCGTCGGCCCGTTCGAGCTAAAAAATACTCAAGGAAAAACCCCTGTTCTAGACATCGGTGCACTCGAAAGGATTCGATCAGGCGAAATCCAAGTAGTGCCCGCAATCAAAAAATTCTCGTGCGGTAACGTCGAGCTCGTCAACGGGGAAAACCTCGAAATCGACGCGGTTGTTTTAGCCACCGGATATTGCAGCAATGTACCTTATTGGCTACAGGTGAGACAAAATAATAAAAATCAAGAATGTTTTTTTTTTTATTTTATTTTGTTGAAAATAGAGGGACTTATGTTGTGTTATTGAATTTGTTTTTCGATTAATTTAGGAGAGCGAATTCTTCTCGAAGAACGGATTCCCGAAATCACCATTTCCGAATGCATGGAAAGGGAAAGCCGGTCTATATGCCGTCGGATTCACAAGGAGAGGGCTGTCTGGTGTTTCTGCAGATGCTGTCCAAATATCACAAGACATTGCAATGATTTGGAAAGATGATTTGAAGCAGAAGAAGCAAAAAGTCCCGAATCACCGAAGATGCATTTCGACTTTCTGATCGAAAAAAATTTCGAGTTTTTTTTTTTTTTTTTTTGCTTCTTTTATTCTTTCCTTAATTTTATTTTTCTTACCCAACAACAAAAATGTAAAGATACAGAAAAAAAAAATGAAAAGCAAAAGGAGATGATATAGCATATGTTAGAGATCAGCCCCTCTCAAAAAGCCCAAGAGTTTTCAAGAATTGGGCATTTTGTATACTTGAGGATGACGTGGCTTTTTTTTCTTTTTTTTTATTTATTTTACCTAATTTCCATTATTTTATGATGTAGTTCTTGTTGTTGAGTTGTACTATTGGAAGTGATCAAGTTCAATAAATAGCAACATGTTTTTTATAATACATATGCTTCTGTTTCCATAGTTTCGGGCTACTGCACGAGAACGAGGTTTATCCAGTCTATAAAAATTATATGAAAAAAAAAAAAAAATGGAGACTAAGCATATGAGATTATGAAATTAAATATAAATAATTATATGTAGGGATTGTTCTTTCACATAATATACTTTAGTCATGCAAAAAAGTTTCATGTAGTTTCAACTTGAATTAATTGGTAGTAAAGACTAAAGAGTGTGGGAAGAAATAATCCATGAAAACTGGAAATTACTTTCTGCATGACTAAATTGTTTTCTATTTAATATTCTTGGCTAGGGAAGGTAATCGAGCCAAGCGAGTCGAACTTTTGGTAGACTCAAATTCAGATACCATCAGATTTCACGATTACAAGTTCAAGTTTCTCATACCATCGAACTTTATAGGTGTATGATCAGACTCGATTCATATATTGATTCGAGTTTTGGATTTATACGGAGCTCACATCGGGCTTATAGCATTGATATATTTTAATTATTGAAGAAAGTAAATTACTTAAATACATGATGATTGAAGAATATTGAACAATCTGATTATTTCTTGTGTAGATTCTTATTGATCTTATTGATTATATTAGATTTTCATGTTGTATAAGAAATTATGTTGTCCATCGAATCTTCTAGAGATTTCATTGACTAGAACTTTATTTTCTTATATATTTCATTGATTTGGAAAACAAAATGGTTAGAACTCTCTAGAGATGTCGAACCGATGTCCGTAGGTAGTTCAGCACTGGAGGGAGTGCAAGTATTTGGATTGAGGAGTTTGCGGTGTTAAAGACAAAAGCTCGAGTGTTACATAAAGATATAGTTTTTGGTGTTTTCATTAAGTACTGTTCATTAGGAATGTGATAAATGTCGTTTCAATTTTAATTATATCATTTCCACTTTATATGTAATTTTGACCATTTTTCACTTGAAACTGGGCAAAACTCAAAACATGTAGCTTGTATTTCTTTGAGTTATCTTTGTAATCCAAGTTGAATCGCCAAGATTGGATGTCTGGTAAGAAAGATGTGCATGAATCAATGAATATTGCCAATAATTTTAATATCTTAATTACTATTTTAAGTTCAAAATGTAACTCATTTATGCATAATTTTGTCCGGCCTTCAATTTAGCTTATTCAAGTTGGATGGGAAAGTTAACTCAAATGTCTACACTTCATGTGTTTTGAATTTTGCAAAAGTCATACTAGACAAAATTCAAACCCGCGTTTAAAGTCAAAATACAATATTAGTAAAATTGAAACGACATTTAACATTTCAGATATATTTTCCATGAGTAATGTAGTAGCTAGTAGTTTCCAAAAGCTTCTACAGAAAACTCTTACAGAAATCTGTGTGTACAAAAAATGTTATTATCATCCCAATGTAATAAAAATAAATCGCAGCTGTGATTTTCATATTTATGTGGTCCATCAAACAATTAAATTCTCGAGGTTTCTTGTTAAATGGAAATTAAATTAAAAAAGAAGAAAGCTAGTCCTACAATTTGTCCTTGTTCATTGTAAGAATCTACGATTTTCAGAATTCATTCATCATACGTTTGGTCCTTTTGGATTTTTTAGTGGTAGGAGTTTTTATATATTTTTTTTTTAATTTTTTTTTCAATTTTTGGTAAGAAATTATCACTTTATAAAAGAAAAATTAATTTCGATTTCATGTAACAATGTTTTCGTGCAGTGGATTAAATGAATTTGCAAGACAGAACCTAAAAAACAACCCACATGCATCAATATTAAATTGAAATTCTTGCGATTTGGTTGCCCGTAGATACATTCATACTTGCACACAATTAATACATTCGGGATTAGCAAAATACAATTTAATTTAGCGAAATATTACTAGACTTGGTCGTTTTATCTCAAATGAAAATATTTGAGTATTTTGGGACATGTGTTTTAAGGAGCTACATTACGAAAACGAAAAGAAAAGAAAAGAAAAAAGAATTCGTAAATCTATAGCGAGGGCAAAAGGGTAATTTTATATATGGAATAAGCAAATAATAATTCAATCATTGTTAAGACTTAAGACATTAATATTGGCAGTGATTCTTGTACAGATATTAAATTCCAAATGTTTGATGTAACCAAGGAATCACATTTCATGAGGTTAAGGTGCATGAACTGACTCTAGATGCTGTCATAGCAAATAGAGCATCAAATTCAAACATTTATAAATTAATTAATTAATAAATAAGGCATTTTTAATTACATCTCTGAACTTTGTGCAAAATAAAATTTTACATTTCTAATTTCTTAGTTTTTGGGATGTGATTTAGGGTTGAGAAAAAAAAAACCAAAAAATCGAAAAAAATCCAGCAGTTCCGAATAACAAACCGTTCATGTGATTTTTTTAAATCTTAATAATAGTTCTAAAATATACATTCTTAATTAAAGTACATTGACCACCTATATTGTATTATTATTCTAGTTTTGATTGTTTGTCTATAATCTTTTGTAAAAATATAATGTAAATCGGGAAAAGAAAAATCGAACATGAATCGAACAAACTAAAAATCTAATGAAATCGAACCGTGATAAATTAAAAAAGAAAAAAAGCACCGAAATATTTAATTTTAAATTTTATAAAATCGATACATTTAGTTCATTATTCGATTTAGCCTATAACCATGTCGTCGAATATGGATCTTTATTTCGGCATCTACATTTCGTTTATACCAAGTTGAATCCAACAAATAAGAATTTGTCAAAAATTAGCATCCATTGCTTTATGTACTTAGGAATGATATAGCCCATATAAGAGCCCAAATTGGTGGCCCTAATATTTCTTTTTTCTACAGCCCAACAATAAACTATCCCTTTGTACATCCCATAATTTTTTATCTTTTTTTCCGTCAAAAAAAAAATGTATATATTATTTTTTTTTCAAATGATATTAATAATTTTTTTGTATTATAAGTTATTTATATGATTAAAAAGTTACAGAATAAAAAAAAAATTGACGTTTTTATTTATTGTATATGTATTTATTAATTATTATTGTTACATATATTATATTATTATATTATATTAATATATATAGAAAACAGCTCACGAGCTGACTCGTGAGGTTATGAACAACTAAGGATAAGCTCCAGCTCCAGCTCGAGCTTGAAAAATGTTAGTTTGAGCTCGGGCTTTTGTCAATTCTTATCATCGAGTTCACAAGTCGTCTCGACTCGTTCACATCCCTATTTGTACCTGGTAGATATCTCACAAGTTTGTACTTGTTATTGGATACTCTTTGTATCTATCATTGTAATTGTTTCTCGTTAATAAAATCTTAATTTATCAGAAAGAAAAAAAATATATCCACGGTTGAAAACTTGTGACGATTCAATAGTTTGAGAAATTTACAAACTCCCACTTAAGAATAATCCGATCAACCATGTTTTTTTTTAATTAATAAATTAAGGCAGTTTGTCGGACACCCTTCCACACAAGTATCCTTTCAAATCAGAACGGTGTGATTTTGCCAATTTGCTAAAAGTTTTAAATCCTTTTCCATATGTAAATACCCCGCCTCTTTATCCTTTGCCCGTCTATTCCTGTTCTCTTTTACTTTTCTCTTCCATTTCAATTTCAACCATATTTTCGACAATTTCTATGCACCATGATCGTCTTCACGTACCACCGCCGTCTTCACTCCGCCAGTGTCGTCGTCAAATAATAGTTAACTAGCACATACATAGTGACACATACATACACACTCCCATGCACACACAAATTCACATACAATAGTCGTTGGGATCCAAATCTGCGTATTTTGTAAATGTACATTTGGATGGATTATAGTTGCTGGTTCACTTTGTTTAACTGCATGATTTGGAAGATACATGATTGTGATTGTGAATAGCTAAGTATTCCATGAAACATGACCATCGAACATAACTAAACTCCAAATATTTTCAAGCTAGCTAAAATCCTATATAAAGTGATAGAATGACGATTTGAACCGTCCGTTGATCTGAAAATAATTATCCAAAAATAAAAATAAAAATAAAAATGTCCAAACAATCGGTTAGATTACCTATCACTATCAACTATATTTATATACATTATCATCATTCTCAAATAATTTAATTCTAACGAGATATTCAAGATAAATCATGTAACTATCATTTTCTCTCAAAAAAAATTTCTTTTTGGAATTGACATCATTTGAAACGACGGTCTCAATTATTTCTATTATATAATCTCATTATTCTCACATTTCTCACAAAACAACTCAAAATGAAAATCTAGATAGAAGTATTAAAGTAATTCACTAATCCTTAATAAAAATATAAAATAGAAAATAGGAAAAACTAGCTATAATTTTAGCATGCAATGTTTACATGTGAAATAAGCACCCTATCTTCTTGAACTAATATTGGGAGACGAGTTCAACCCAGGGGTGTAAACTAAACCCATTTAACATGGTATCAGAGTGTGTTGAGATGTGATGATTGGATCCCGGCTCATTGGTTGGACACGTTACGCGTGGGATGGATGTTTGTTGATTGTAATTTGTCCCACATCGAAAATTTGTAACACTCATACAATATTTCTATGTGTAATGGGCACCTTTTCTTCTAGAGCTAGTTGAATTTGACGAAGAACGTTCTTGTCAAGGCTCAAGCCCACTAGTCCATAAGACCTTAGTGATAGATAAGTTTTCGAGAGAAAAATATTAGTTATGAACGGTTCTTCTTGCTTGATAATTTTTGGCCGACATTTCGTTACTTTAAAAATGTAAACCGTTTACCGAACCGAACTGTTCGTTTTGATAAGGTTTTTTACTGAATTAATTCGGTTCCTTTAAAAATGTAAACCGTTTACCGAACCGAATTGTTCGTTTTGATAAGGTTTTTTACTGAATTAATTCGGTTCGTTACTTTAAAAATGTAAACCGTTCACCGAACCGAACTATTCGTTTTGACAATGTTTATTACCGAATTAATTCGGTTTTTTCGGCTCGGTACCGACAAACCGGAAATGATTTTAATATTTTAAAAGAAATGCAAAATAAAATATTTAAACTAATCCATTCTTAATTTGACATTCAAATTTCAATAATAGACCATAATAACAAAAAAAAATGATTATTATAGAGACTAATTTATAAATAATGGGGAAAAGATATCAATCTAAAAGTATTTCACAACTTGTTATAACCTTAAAAAATTAAAAAATATATTACATATTTCATTCTTCAGTATATCGGACATCAATAACGTATATCATACTGGATACCAAAATTCTAAAAAATATTTGCAAAATAATGAATTGAACTTTCGATTCGGTTCAATTCGATCAGTTTACCGACCGAGTGAACGACCCTAGTAATGTAATGTAATGTGAAATAAAAAGATAACCCCTCAAAATAAGGCCTTCACATTTGCCTACTCTATAATAGTAAATTCTTCCAAATCAATTGGACGTTACTCATCAATCCCAAGTCGACATTTTTTCCCCGGGTGCCATCATAAATTCTTCAAATCGGTGAAAAAAAGGTGCCGAGAAATCCAAAAAGCAGAGAGAGAATCACAAACTACCGATCCAGCGGAAAAAAAAAAAGTTGTAATTTTTTTCCGGCTGAATTTTGGTGATAATGGCGTTAATGGCCGCCGGCGCATCTAGCCTATCAAATAGATCCTTCATTCCCGTTTCCCCTCAATTTATCATCACCTCTGTTTCTCCCTCGCACAATTATATCCCAGCTTACAGTAATGGCAGGAAATTCGCACCGTGTTGCCGAATCGGGTCGAGAAATGAGGGCCTCGTCGAGATTCGGGCCACGTGCCCCGCCACATTCGGGGCCCGTTTGCGTGAGTCTGTGATGAACACCGTTGGTGGAAATCCAGTTGTTGTTTATTCCAAAACATGGTGTTCGTAAGTTTCCCCCATTTCTCTGATCTAATAATTTTTCCTCTTTATTTATTTATTTATTTATTTTTAATTATTTATTTATTTATTTATTGTTGGGATTTCAAAGGTACTCGTTGTTGGTAAAATCCTTGTTCGAGAGGCTTGGCGTTGAGCCTCTTGTTATTGAATTGGATCAATTAGGTATGGTTTCTATATCTATATGTGTGTGTGTGTGTGTGCACATGTCTGAATATTTTGAACTTTGATCAGTATTCAATACACATTTACAAGTGTTAGCAGTTGATCAGGTTCTTTGTTGTTCTGAAACTCTTTGTACTAAGGATCTTGTTTGAAGATGGATTTAAATCTTTAATATCATCGGCTAACGATCTTGAATTTTCCGTTTTTTGTTTGAAATTCCTTTACGTTGTTGTTGAAAACCACCACCTTGAAGAGGTGAAGTAATACCCGTTCCCGTTAAGCCATTGTTTCGACACTCGAGTTTAAGTTTACGTAGTTAATCGAAATAGAGATTTAAACTATTATTTATTAATTAATTAATTAATTCAAACTATTGCCGACTGCTATTTTACACGGTTTCTTTTTTTCAGGTGCTCAAGGACCCCAATTGCAGAGGACTTTGAAAAGGCTTACGGGACAACATACAGTTCCCAACGTATTCGTCGGTAACAAGCGTTTCAAATGCTCTTAAGCTATATATTTATCTTTTAATTATTTTTATTTAGTTATTAGTATATAATTTCTCAAGTTTTCGATGACTAACTCAGACAATTGCATTGCATGACAGGGGGGAAGCATATTGGTGGTTGTACAGGTATCTATTTCTTCTTCTTCTTAACAGTTACCGTCACTAAACATTGTACGGTAGAACCTCGATAAATTAATAACCGTGCTTAAATAAATACAGTAGAATCTCGATAAATTAATAACCTCTATTAAATAATAACTTCTCCTGGTCCCGATTCGGTGAAAATGTACTAAATTATTAGTTTTATAGTTTAATATGTCGCTAAATTAATAGAATTGTGCCAGTCCCGACTGCATTAGTTTACAGAGTTTTAACTGTAGAAGATTCATGTCCCGACTCGGTGAGAACATGCTAAATTATTAATTCGACAATTTAATATTTCGTTAAATTAATAGAATTTTGCTGACAACTGTATTGATTTATAGAGGTTTAAAGTTCATAATGTTGGATTGAATAACAGTTATAAACACTCGTGTTTTCATGGTCGCCGTGAAGATTTTTTTTTTTTTTTTTTTCATTACCGAATTATCGATAGATCAAAGGCTATTTAGCATTTTTATTTTGTTTAGGCATTATTTTTATTGGTTTTTTCGTTTTGGTTCGATTGTGCAGACACTGTGAAACTGCATAGAAAAGGGGAACTAGAGCCTTTGCTATCAGAAGCTGTTGCAAACAAGTAAGAGATGTAGTAGAAGAGTCTCTACTTTCATTAGATCGAAGCAGGAAAAAATTTCGTCATCAAATCGATATATTACTCGAGCGTATACAGATATTATGTGTCAGTTATTTTTTTTTTTCATTTTTACTAGCTTCTAATATTTGAAGTAGTTTGTAATTTGTATATCTACCTCAGTGGTACACTATTGTTCCATACCATATATGGAAGAACCGAAGATCTCGATCTTATATGCACTTCCGTTTCTGTGTTCTTTACGGCTTAGTTTCACTTTGCACCCTTCAAATATAGATTTTTGGCACTTTACACCCTGAGAAAAAAAATAATAGTAGTTTGCACCCTTGAAACACAATAAAATCGTTCACAATGCACCCCGTATTGAATTTGATACGAAATTCTTACCAGTTCAATTGATCACCAAATTTTCCGAGAGGTTGGTCTTTTACTGGAATTAGTAAAAATAAATTAATGTAATCAATCAAGGTAGTTTTATTATTCCATATATTTATGTCAATTGTGCAGTGAGTTGAAAAAAAAAATATCATTCGTTCATTTTCAATTATGAAAATAATTTCAGCAAATAATGAATAATTTGTTGAGAAAAAAAATGAGATCTTTTCTTTGAGAAAAAAACAGTTTAGCTTTCCATACGTTTAACATTTTTTTTTGCACTCTATACGTTTGAAAAATTTCCAAAAAAAAAAAATTAATAAAAACCAATCAGCTGTGCAATTTGAATGGTCTATTGTGTTTTCGAGGATGCAAAATGCTATTAAATATTTTTGTGGTGCAAATAGCTAAAATGTTATATTTCAATGGTGCAAAGTAGAAATAAGCCGTGTTCTTAACCAAGAATTTTTACATAGTGTAATCAGTAACGAAAAGGGTTCCGGTTTCACGTATAGAATCTCTCTTCTTATTGTTTCTCTTCAAACACATGTTATCCGGTGGCGGAGCCAATATTTTCTGATTTTTTGTAGGGCATTTATAAAAAATATAAAATAAAAATATCACGAAACAAGTAATGATTTGTAGAATTCAATTAAAACAACATGATATAGAATATGTTATGTCCAAATCAAGTTTTTTTTTTTTTTTTTTTTTTATTGAGAAATCTTCTTTTTTTCAAAATTTATCACTCCATCAAATGAATAATATGTATTGATTCGAGTTTTGATATTGATGGTGTAGAATATATGCCCTCAAGACCTCATTCCAATCCCTACTTCTTTCAGACCGTCGGAAAGCGCACCGAACGTCGGATCTAGGACCGACGAGGGTGAAATAACAAACAAAAAATAATAAATGTGAGAGAGGGTTTAGAAGAAAGTATAAAAGTGTTCTTATTGATGTTAAAAATCGTGTCCCATTAGGATTTTCCAGCGTTTATTTATGTATAAGGCCGAAAATCTTATAAGATCCTGTAATTATGCTAATGATTGATATTACTTCATTTATTAAATATGTTATACACGTCCCTAGATACTCGTAACCCCTCATTGATTGGAATCTTGTCGCAGATTCTCGACGAGATCCTAGCTGGGTCAAGTATCTCGTTGGGTCGGGCATATGAGTAAAGCCCCACTGCACTCTTACCGGTCCGGGCGATCTTTTTAGGACCGGGCGATCTTATTGGGCCGAAAGAATGTATGAATAGAGCCCCATCAGATATATTGGATAAAATCACGGCGGATCTTCGACCTGGTTTCTTATTCGCATTTCATTTTATTGTATTGTTTAGGGAATTTACCAATTGGCCCTCTAACTCGTCCTAGAGAAGACAAAATTAACCCTAGATCCCTTCATTATTACAAAACAACTCAATATAAAAACTCACTCCAGAGCCCCGTCCCTTAAAAGAACAGGTTCGGATGGAGAAATATTAATCATAGTAACTCAACAGCCCATTATAGTAGCGGGTCTGGTGTTAAAAATGAATGGAGGTTGAAGAGAGATATATGAAAGGTTGCAAAAAAGTATGATACAATTTTTTCACACATACAAACACACACACACACAATGTGTGTAACTAATTAAAGGGGATCAAACATTAAAAAAACAAGGATATGCTATTACAAGAAAGAAAGAAAAGAAAGAACACATAAATGAAAAATGAGCAAAAAATGGCTCATGCAACCAATTCAACTTCATCCAAGGCGTAATTGTTTGTAGATACATTTGCATAATTCACCTTGTTAAACCTCACCACCACCGGGTACCGTGTCTTGTTATCCTGTCCAATCATAATATTCGTCAAAATTACATCAAAAAATAATCATATAAATGATTTAAACTTAAGTAAATATACATTTAAAAATAGTCATATATTAAATTGTGTATACATTAATGTCAAAGGATGTTTTTTGTTACAAAAATTAATATTTATTGCCTAAATAACTACTTAGACTATGTTTGATTGCATTAATATCAGTCCACGTATGAATAGCTAAGAGTGGTTGTGTCTGAATGTTGAATTATTAAGCTTGTTTGATAAGCGAAAAGTAATAATATTTGAATAGTATATATATATTTTTTATGATATTATGAATTGTTGAACAGTTACATCTTATATATAAAAGAAAGAAATGTTGGGCAACCTTAAAAAACCCTAATGGTTTTTCGGTAATTATTTATTTTTAATATTTTCTTCTACTATTTATTTTATTTACTATAATATTCAATAATTATCAATCTCCTATTTTTCATCAATATATTTCAAATCTTAAGAGATAAAGATAGAAATTCGATTTGTTAAATCTTAGTTATATATTGGATTATAAATTTTAATCTGCAATATTTGAAAAAAACATGTTATAAATAATATGAATATTACTACATTATTAAATTTTATGTACTATATTTTCTTATTATGTATTAAATTAATTATTTTTTCCAAATTTTAAATAATATTCCGTGCATCGGAAAAAATGCTAGTTACTACTAATTGAATAGTGTATGAAACATATTAATTTTATATAGATAAATATAAATTATTTAATCCAATGGAAACCTCCCCTAAACACATATTCTATATATTCAATCATTAGTAATTAATTAGTCAAAAAAATAAAAAAGAAAATAGTCAAACCTGGTCAACAGCTACAACAGAACCAACGCCCTTGTACCAGTATGATTCCTTCCTCAGAATTCTGACCTGAGATTTATTAATAATATTCTATTTAATAATCATATTCATATTTAATTAATTAATTAATTAGTTAAATAAATTAAAACTCACCTTTGAACCTCTGGGTGGGCCAACTGCTGGTGGCTTGGGTGCTTTAGGGGCTGCGGCGGCCGGCGAATCGGCGGCCGGCGCCGGCGCGGCCTCCTCGGCGGCCCTAACCACTAGCCTTGCGTTTCGGCTGCTGCTCTTGTTAGGGAAGAAAACCATTGCGGCGGACTTAGTGTTTGTTGCGTTGGAGGCCACGTTTGGTGCCACCACAAATCCGCATGCGGCGGATGCCATGCTGCAGCTTGCCATCTCTCTCTCTCTCTTGAAAATAAAGTTTCTGATTAAATTATTTTATGAGAAAAATAAAGTTTGATAAATTCAGGTAAGAAAAATGGGATTTTGAGAGGATATCCCATTCTCTTTTACATGGACTGTGATAATTCTAAGGAAAGCCAGTGTTGTTGATTATGGCCAATAGGATGGCGCCACCTGGATAACCATATCCATTTCTTTTAGATAATCTGATCTACTTGAATTTAAAATAGATTTTATTTGATTTGAACTTCAAATTTAGAATTCAAGGCAGAAAAAGTAAATGTTTTTTTTTTTTTTTTTGAAATATTACTATCATGGTTCGTCGGAACGGAATAGTGCATTGTTGCGGACACTGCCGTTCCAGTTCCATTGCAACGTCGCGGTCGAAACGGACACATTTTAATTAAATTGTTAAAAAAATACAATATATTTTAAATATGTTTTTAATAACAATATTCCAATTCAATAATATGCAAAATATTGTTACAATTTCAAAATAAATATTACAAAGAATATTATGAAAATACAAGCAATATTAATACCAAGTAGAACACCGAGCTGGAATTATGTAAGATATAATTGAAGAGTCAGACCAAAGATCTCTAATTAAGGGAAATATCCATTTTCTAACGTAGCCACCACCATCATATTATTTCTTCTTTTTTTAGTCAATTTTTTTTATTCAAATTCTTTTTTCCCATTCCGGCGCCGTTCCGGCCGTGTCGGGGCCGTTCTGTGGCTCCGTCTCGCCCATCCCACCGATTTCTCGGCGTTCTAATGAGTCACGGTGAAAACACCGTTCTGGTTACGGATTCCGGAACGGACGGCACCGTTCCCGTTCCGGAACGACCGTTCCGGCGAACCATGATTACTATTGCACTTGTAAGTTGTAAACAATGAACAAAATTGCATTAAATTATTCAATATAATTGATAATATATTAATGAAAAATGTTTTTTTTTACCAAGTACTGGAGTAGTTGTAAGTACTGGAGTACGTATTTTAGAAGTTTAGAGCATCTACACTGCATCAATCCCCAAATCATTACTCGAAAAATTCGACTACGAGTGAGAACAACTTCTATTGTATATAAACCTATTAACTTCGGTATGATTGCTTTTGTACAAGACATTTTTAGTCTGAATCAACTCGAGATCGGGAATTCATATATACTCGAACTTTTAAGCTTAGGCCTATTATCACTCACAAAATGAGTAAATCGGTATATAGTTAAGACTAATTCAGTAATTTGACATAAATCATGGCGAAATTCACGGGAAAAAAATTAAAAAAATTAAAAATAATCAATTTTGACATTTTATTTTGAGAGACTGTATATTTATACATCTAATATTCATTTACAAAAAATAAGAAAATATATTTCAAATAGAATCAAATATATTTCATTTACATATTCATTTTTTATTACGTGCCTATTTGGCGCCTGAATTTCCCCCCTTCTCTCAAATCAAATTAATCTCAGCAACTTAGGGTTCTCGGCAATGGAATTTCAGATTATTGAGCGACAATGAGTCGAAGATTCAAATCAAGTACTGGATCCAGAGGCGCAGCTCGGAATCGATGCTCCGATAAGCAATTTGGTACCACCACCTTTCTCGAAACAACTAATTCGTAGACACACCCACCCCCCACCCCCCCCATTGAATTTTGATTTATTTCACTGTTTAAATTTTTTTTTTATCTCGTTCTTTCCCATGAATCAGAATGCATGATTTGGAGTTGAAATGTTCTTTGTAGTAGATTTTCATTGAGCTTTGTATGGATTGTCACTGTAAAATGCGTAGTTACACAGTGACGAGTGAAAACTATGGTATTTATTTCATGGTGTTTTTTTTTTTTTTTTTTCTTTAAATGGCATGGGCGTAATTATTGTTTTGTAGACATGAGGAAGGCAAAGAGAGTGAAATTTGTGGATACTGAAATGGATGGTCTACCGGTTTTTGCGTCTTCTTCGAAAGGACGTAAAGCAGCCGAGTCTCCAACGTGTCGGTCTTCTGCTATTACTTGAATTTCTATTCACGGTCTCTCTCGGCAAAGTACTCGTAACAACTGTTAGTTTTTATTCGATTCTATATGTGTTGCAGCTAATGCTCCCAAGACTTCGGAATATGCATATTTTAGGAAATTTAAGAATGGGGTTGTGCATGGTCAGTCTCGTCCACTGCATAAAGAGAACGAACAGTTGGAGAGTTCCGAAGTTAATCATTTTATTAGAGGTACAAGGCTTTCTTATTGAAATAACGTAACCGGATAAGATCTTGAATGGAGCATAATTGGATAACGGAAATAGTTTACATTTTGTTTTTATCTTGTGCAATCGCATTGAATTAGCAGAGAAAACTAGCGATACTGGAATACTCAACCATAGCACGAAAAACTTCAATTTCTCAGTTTCGGGAGAGAGGGCAGGGCCATCTGACGATAACGTTTTCTCTTCACCTCGCGTCAGTAAATATGATGAACCAGATCAGACAAGAAGTAAAGGTTTGTTATTTGTGATTCAGACATTTTTCGAAAAATTCAATTTGTGACTCTTGTTATTACTTTCCAGTCACAGTATGACTTGATGCAGAAGGAACTAACAGAATTAGTAAGAGATCGTTACTGCTCTCTGAGAATGTTACGCCTGTTGCACCAATTCCTCTCTCCCCACCACTTTATGAAGCACCGGAGAACTCAGGTTTGCTCTGTGATTTCGCATATTGAATTCTTACTTTATTTTTAATTTAAGATCTTAGATGTGTCGTACTCGTACAGCAGTTGAGAGATGCTTTGGTTAATGAAGTATTGAACCTTGTTTGCTCAATGCTTTTACCTAACGGGATCATGTTATCTTTCGTGTTTTCTTATATGTTAATCTTTAGGAAATTTCGAAAAAATGCTTGGTGTTCATCCAAGTCAAATTCCATGATTTTGAGGATATCGTATCCATACCATCCTTTTTGAAGAAAAGTTGTCTATCTGATTTTTTTTTCTCACTGTGATTGGTTGTAATTTTGTAGCTGTATTCCCTGTTCTTCCATGTCATACTTTTTGTGCTAAATATTCATACGCTACTTCTCGATTGTCCTCTCTGATTCTGCAGTTTTTGTTTACATGTCCAGATAATCTATGCTGCGAAAAAGGAATATTTTCTGCAAAGAGACACAGATTACGCCAGTGGATTGCTCAAACTTCATATTCTGATTTTCAGAAACTACATCCTACAGGGTTAGATATGTATAGCAATTCATCTTTCGTTAGCTTAGAAACAAATTGACTTCCCTAAGTCATTTTGGTTTTCTTGTTCTCTCCCAGATCTGATTTGGTTTCTTCACTCTTGAGTCGGCTGTTACCTAAGGGCGACGAAAATACTGTATGATCTTCCAACTTCTCCTTTTAAAGGGTTGCTGACTTCCTTTACTTAGTTTGTGATATATTTTTATTTACCAGGTATCATCAAAAGGAGATGCTGAAAACAGTTGCAGATCCATCACATTACACGAGTCTAATAATATGGACAAGGGGCTTCATTTTTCTCATAAGTCGGATAAAGATCGCCCAAGAATTTGTTCTGGCGAAGCGAATGAGATTATAGTCCCAGAAAGGGATACCTTTATTTCTGGATTTCCTTTTCCCAGTTATAGTACAGAAAGCCCAATTCACGCGTCCGTTTATATGGACGAGGGGTTTCATTTTTCTCATAAGCCAGAAAAAGATCTCCCAAAAGTTTATACTGGAAAATCGTGTGAGGTTGTACTACCAAAAAGGGATACCTTTATTTCTGGGTTTTCTTTTCCCAGTTATTGTAACGAAAATCACGGTCAAGACGAATTGGTGGATCTTGATCAAGGTTCAATGAGTCATGTGCTTGGAAATTCCCTCGCACAGCATGATTTTCCGTCCCGCTTGCCTTTTGAAAGATATAGGTCTTCAGGTTCGTTTCATTTCAGAGAGCTGGATGAATTTGGTTCTATAGTTGAATATCCAAGAGAAGAACCTCAAAGACCCTTGCTCGAATGGGATTTCGAACGGGGTACAGATACATTAGACTCGTCTGTTGTTAGCCACAACACTGCAAAGGATGTATATTCCGGACTGGACACTTGGAATGTTGATCAACGGCAATTTCCAGATAACGCGGCCCACGCCAAAAGACTGCATTCGTCGTCTTCATTTTCAAACTACGATCTAGAATTCGACGCATTGCCAAATTATGGTCCAACCAGCTGTTTAAGGCAAAATCTTGGACCAGTTTTCGATGATGTGAAGTGGGCAATATCAGAATCGTCAAGACAGTTTTTTCTTCCTTTACCTCGTACCCCAAATCTTGTCTCGATGGAAGATATGCTTTATAACAACGACGTCGTTTTCTACGACAGAGACCGACATTGGCTTAAGAACAGGGTTTTGGATGGCAAGCCTCGAAACGACGTTTCGTTGAAGTACTTATCAGCTGAAGAACTCGCTGTCGGAGACCCCGTGTCATTTTATACTGTTAACAAGAATAGCTTATGCCCTCTCCCAAGACAAAAGGAAGCTCCTCGAGACCTGTTTCATCCTTTCTCTGAAGGTGCATTCTCCTCTAATCTTCATTCCTCTCTCGGTACACGCATAAACTTACCTTTGTTACTCGATCACGATAGCTCCTACCATGAATTATATTTCGATGATGATGAATTGGAGTATATATAGATAAATACTTCAAATGCATCTGCATAGATTTCTTTGCTATGTTTATGAACGAATTGAACTGTTTCTAGTCCTCGGTTATGTATACAATTGTTTATAGCAGCATCAAATATGAAAACTTTGTCGAACCTTACTACGTCGAATTTCCTTCAGTGAATTAATTGCCTAATCATTCCCAAATCCCTTATTAGAGGATCATCTAATCACATCTCTCATTATAGTTATTTATATATACTTTCTAGTGTCAATTATGAAATTTATTTAACTTAATTACATTAATTCCCCTTGGTTAAGAGATTGCCTAATCATCTACAGATCTCCTTGATTAGTGGAGTACTAATTCATATCTCTAACCATAACTCTGTTATTTCTATACTACACCAGCTGAAAGGTTACGCCGGGTGTTTTTTTTATCGTTGATCTACACACACCAATGTGGGTGTGTGTCAGTACGTATATGAATGGTAAAGATCTACTCGGTGTAGCCAACTTGATCACTTTACATCAAATCCCATAATAAGGGATTGCTTAATTATCTTCTTTCACGTTACCTCACATAATTGTTATTCGTTCTTGTTTCTCATTTGTGACCTTTTATTGCAAAGAAAAAAACATATGTGGGTTGATTTCGATTTAGATTTCAATTTCGGTTTCGGTTTCGAGGCAACGACAAATTGACCCGAGTTAACCGGTTTGCTAACGAGGCTAGGTTTGAGTTGATCAAAATATTTCTTTTATAATGCATCAATAAATGTGATGTGACCATAGGTACTAGAAATTCTCTCAAACTTGGGCTGCAGTTTAAAGAGCATGTGGACTATGGCTAATATTATACAAAGTACAAACAATGAAACAACTCCACCTTAGTTTTTTTTAGATGCCATTTAATTGGAATTTATTTCTTTTGGATGTGTGTAGCAATACCTCCAACTGCTAGTTTGGTAAGCATTTAATTTTGATGGCTATTTTTTTGTCTTATCCATAGCTGAAATAAAAATATGACTCGTATATACAGTTAAACCTCTATAAATTAGTAGAGTCGGGATAAGTAAATTTTTATTAATTTAAAGAAATATTGAATTATCGAATTCATAATTTAATATATTTTCACTAAGTTGGACCGAGAAAAATTATTATTTAAGTAATTTTATTAATTTATCGAATATTAATCTATTGATATTTTAATGTAAATCATCGCCAAATGGATTAAGTGATGAAAGTTATGAAAGTAAAATTATTAGTAAAATTGGGAAAAATATTTAAGTGGGTTGAATCAGACAAAATTAAGGGACCCCAAATTGTTGATTTAACAGTGATTTAACAGTGATTTCAACTTTACCACATCCCATCGACCCACTGTATATTTTGACGTCATCATGTCATCACATTCAGGCCAATAAAATTAATTATTACCCTTTTGTTACTATTTAGTTTTTTCTCAAAATTTATTGATTAGTCGTAGCATTTTTCTCCTTGGGGAATTCACATCCACACTTATAATTAGGGCAAACTACGATCATTTTCAGAGGTATGCTCAAATTACGAAAAAAAAAACAATTCCTTCTCATATTTTGATAATTACAATCACCTCTTTCAACTATATGTTATCTTACACGTCCATCCTTATAGTGTCAAACATAACTACTGAATGAGGGGTTTTTTCGTTAGACAATACATATATGAGGAGGAGATTATAATTAATCAAAATATAAGGAATTTTTTTCGCAATTTGAACTTATCTCAGGAGGTTGATCGTAATTTACACTTACGATTAAAGTGCTTCCAACCGCCAATTTACCTGAAGTATTTCATTTTGGATATCTGTATACAAAATAAAAAATATTAGGGTTTTTTTTCAAGTGACAATTTTTTTTTTCCATTATTAATTAGCTTTTTGTCACACCAAGTAAGGCAGAATTACTAGATTTCTACAAGAAAAAATGGCATTAGTAATATATAATTGTGACAATATTAAAAATTATCACTAATAAGTTACAGCATTTTGTATATTGTCGCTAATACTTAAACATTTTTATCGCAACTATATAGTAGTGGCAATCACTTTTTATTGTTATATAAAACTAAAATTAGTAATATACATATAGTGACAATATTTTTTTGCCTAATCATAAGAAAATTGGTATCTTTACTCAAAAGATTTTTTTTTTTTATCGTGTGTAACATAATTTTGATTCATCAAATACCTAATAAATGTATCCCTAACTTCTAGATTAAACTTTCTAAGACTATGGCTAATTTATTCAAAACTAAAAAAATAAAATCAAAGATAATTTCAGTTATAGTGTAATTACTTGTTTATTTAACTTATCTTTGGATTGTCCAAGTAAAATGACTAGTCAAATAATTTTACTACAATATTTCAATAATTCAAATAACGAAACACATATCGATATTCGAATCCCTTTGCCAACGGTCGTTTATAAGTGGGGCTTGTCACACATAATTAGTCTATTGTGATTTACGTCTCTTGTATGGTTTGCAAACTATTATACAATAGTACATATTTACACAGTGCACATATATAGGTAGTTGCGATTTCTACATAATAAATAAATAAATAAATAATTAACAAAGGACAAGGTCCCATTTAGAAATACTACTAATTTCATACAAAATAAAAAGGTCATTTTTTTGTGGATTTGATGTGCCTTTCAAATGATACGAAATATATATATAATATAATTAATCATAGAGTATTTCAAGTAATCCTTTCATCATGCAATTAAATGATTAATAGCAGCCATAAACTATTTATCGTTGACCTATACGCAAGCATGCATGAATATTGCATGTCTTTGGTTAATTCCATTTTAAGTTAGTTTTTTAATTTTTCCCCTCTTTTTGGTGCAAATAATATTAAATTATGTATATATCTATATAAAATGTGATAACAATCTCATGCATCCACTTGTCACCACTTGTGAATTGTGATTTCTTTTTCTTATATATAAAGAAATTATTGTCACTATTTTGTAAATTAATGGGTAACATTTGATTTGTTCGTGATTGATCAAATAATTATATTACACATTATTTTATGTTTGGTAAATTCAACAATTTTCTTGATCGGACCACAATTATGAGAAAATTGAAATCTTATCTCGACTAATCAAAATATTATTCGGAGTTTTGGCAAATATCAGCCATTTGAATAGGCATCTCGTTTGCCTGTCAAAATAAGATTAATCAAGACAAAATTGACATTAGCCTATGTTTAGTTTTAAATTTAACTTCTTTCTATTTTATTAATTTTATTATTTAATGTGGATGTAATGTAATGAAAAATAATAATTATGGTTTCAAAAATGTAAAAGTTGTCCACTCATTTCCGAGAAATTGAACAAAATAAAATAATTAAAAAATAAATAAATTGCATTAGTTGAAATTCATTATCGGTTTTGGAATGTAGTGACAATACCAAACGTGCAGCATTGTGGCAATAATAATAAAACCTAATCCGCATAAACAAAAAAGTCAAAAAACAAAGGTCAGCTAATCCATTTTACATTTATTTTTATGTCTTTATCTGCAATTTTCCAAATGTCCTTTAAATATTTAAATATTACATGCAAAATATCTTTATGGATTTTCATAACAAATAATTAATAAAACAAACAAATGGTAAAATTCTTTACTAATGAAGATTTTGACCGTTTGAGTTTTATAATTTGCTTTACAATGTTTAATGAGGTACAATAAAAAAAAATATTTCAAACTCTCTCAACCCAAAAAATCTCTAGACGTTAATTTTCGACTAATACGATAACATATTTGAAGTAAAATCTATGTTTATACTATTCTTGAATCATGTATACATCGAATGAGAAAAATGAATTATGCTATTTCCATGTTGTTCAACACCAAATACGTCTCTCTCTCTTAACATGGATCCAGAATTGCAGGTAGAGTTCTGTGTTAACCAACACGGTTAACCAAAAAAAGAAATTCTCGAAAAAAGCAAAAATATTACCTGAAAACGTAACAATTTACAGGATTGAAAAGTAGGGGATTTGTTAAATGGAAGGAGTTTTTTAAATTATATTGAAATTTACTATTGGACTCAAATAATAAAGATTTAAATTAAATGTTTTTTTTTCCAATATTGATTTATAAAGGAGCTACATGTACAAACCCTAATAAATTAATAATCCCCAATTTTCACAAATTTTCCCCTATATTCAAGAGGGGAAAAATAATTAAGTAGGGTCTTATTCCTTAATTTTGCCATAGGATTCTAATTATTGAATTTGTCACCCTCAACCTCATAATTTTAAGGGTAAATTACAACCACCCCTAAGCTTTGGTCAAATTACGAAAAAATCCATCTTGTTTGGGTAATTACAACCACCCCATCAACTATAAATTTTCTTACACTTCCACTTTTGCGGTGTCAGCTTTAGTGGATCCTCTAGATTATAAGGAATATTCTCAAATTTGTACCCATTTTATCTCATTCGAACTCCACATTTTGAAGCAAAATGATCATAAGATTTTTTTTTCTTGTATATATCAGATTGTGGTGCATCATAAACTACATTTTTGCACAAAACGAGTACAAACTAGAGAACATTCTACGAAATTTAGAAAATTATGTTGAATTTGACACCATAAGATAAGAGTTTACGTGTAAGAAGATTCATAGTTAAGGGGAATATTATAATTATCCAAATATGAAGGTTTTTTTTTTGTAATTTGACCATACATCAAGGATGGTTGTAATTTAGCCTAATGTTAATAACTCATAGTTCAATACTTTAATACAAAAAGACTAAACAAATATGCAAAAAATAAATAATTAAATTAATAAATAAATAATCATGGGTTAGAGCTTCGTTGTCAAATTTCCAAATAAGGACGAATCTTGAAGCAAATAAAATGAAGATTGAAGCCAAAAAACCTAATTATAAGACTAATCATAAGAAAGCTACCCCAATGTTTGTTTGTTTGCTACAGTTTCAAGAATGCCCTTTTTCTTTATAATATTATACTTATGGCACTATTTTTTTTACTATAATTGCAGGTGAACCCCTTCTGCACCTAATCTTTTATTTTATTTTACTAATTTTTTTTTTGGGCAGATTGTTCCAGTTGTCACTGGATTATATCGAATATAAAATATTAAAAACCTTAATAAACAATATAACAACAACACTATTACCGTGAAATTAACGTGAGATTAACTGCGAGCATGATTTTTTAAATTTTATCTCATCATAATGACGTTATTTTATCACTCGGTTCGGTTTTTACGACTCGGTT